TTCTCTGTCTTCTCACTATCTTTTTTGTCTTGCTGACGGTCGGTAGTCACCCCTCTGGCACATTATTGCTCTCCTTTCTCCGACTCCCCTCGCCTGTCCTCCTCCTGCCCATTTTGTTTTTCCCGGTTTTCTCTTATGCTTACGCCTTTTGGTCTGCTTAATGGACTCCAACAGTCATCTTCCCCATTTTTTCTCACCCTTTTAGATTATTCGCAATTGGGTGTGCTTTTGTGCTTTTATCCTTACTGCCCTGAGGCTCCTTTTTCCTGGTCGAATGTGCTGTCTGGCTATCTATGTCTATCTGGCTGTCTGCCCGTTTGCCTGTCTCCTCAACTCCCGTCTCCCCCTCACGCCTCCGCCGCTCCTCAACACGTCAACCATTTTTCCAAGAAAAAGGAAACTTCCCTCCCCAACCCTTTCCGCTTTCGTCTATAGCTGTTGGCCTTTCGTCTTATTCATTTATTTGGTTATCTCCCACCTTTCTGACTTCCCTCTCCTACTGAGTGCATTGCGTGCCTCTTTTCTGACTTCCGTCTTGTATTCCGTTTGCCACTTCCTGTTGACCGCACTCTCCTGCGCTCCCAGCTTTGCTGTCACCCATTTCCTCATAAATCCATCGATCTGGATTTCATGTACTCCCATCTGTTCAGCAGCTTCGAAATGTGGTCCAGTGGCCTGACTTCCTCTCATCTCTCCCTTTCTCCCCCTCTTCTCTCCCTCTCTCCCTCTCCCTCTCTCTGCTCTCTCCTCCCTCTCCCTCTCACTATCCCCTCTCTCCCCCCTCTTTCTCCCCACTCTGTCCCTTTCGCTCTCCCTCCCGTCTCTCTTTTCCCCCTATGACCGGCTCATGTAAATGGTCGATTTCTTCTTTGTTCCAGTCTCTTCTTTCTCTGTTTCCAAAAAAATACGGCTACGGAAGTCCTTGGCTGCGCCTGTCGTTGTCTGTCAAGGTTAGACAGAAGGGTCCTCAGAATGCATAGAAGTATAAGAAATCGATATATTTTTGTCTCTAGTGTTAGTAAGATCGAGCAGAATCACTCAGTACAACCCAGCCCATCTGGCAGAATGGTAAATATATGTAACCGTTAGTAAAGAGGAATGAGTTCGAATCCTGACGGAATCAGATGAACGCATTAAAGTTAGGGGATGGCGCGTTTTTTTTTTAAACAATGAATCAGAGAGCGCAGGATGATGAGAGTTCTTTGTTTTCCCGTTTTTTAAAAGGGGCCCAGGCAATTCAGAAATATTTGGTTTTACTCGTCAATTTTCATCATCTGGATTCGAACATGGGTCTGTATTTCAACAGTTCATGGTTGTACCCACTTAGCAGGCCCTTGGGTAGGATAAGGAGACTCCCATCGTTCTCAAGCTCTTGTTTTCTGGTTACTTCAGGGGCGAGAACTATTGTTCAAATCTAGGATAGCCCCACCCCAACAAACACAACTCCGGGAGTTGCATTATATTCGCGTCTGGGTGCTAAAGGTCTCTAACCCTCAACTCCGAAACCTCAAATATTAACTCTCTGGGCAGTTTTCACGTTCCTACTGAAATTGACTTTCGAATTTCGAGATGGCCCTCGGGATGAAGTTGTTTCTATTGCAATGCTGCATTTTTTTTTTTTCCAAAAATCTTTTTTTTTTTGTTTTTTTTTTTCCGAAGGGCGACCTTTCCGGCATGATCCAGGCACTCCGGCCTGGTTCATGCTGAGGTTGCCTTTTCATTATAGAAGCTGGTAATCAGGTCCGGTGTCCCTTTCATCGAAAATAAAATTTGTGGCCAGCAGACGAACCGCAGTCAACAAGGCCCGACTGATTACCATTTACAAGCCAGGAATATCTGAGTAGAGAGGACACCTGTACAACAAGACAAGCTAAAAACTAAAACAAAAAAAAACAATCAAAGAAAAAATGAAGAGAAGCGAATTTTTGGAGAGCCGTCACACTGAACAAGGCCGAGAACTGGTCCCAAACCTGCAAGGTCCGCAATGCCTTGGATGAGAAGCCGTTATGTTGTACTTTAAGGGCCCATTCAGTGGAAATGGTTTGCTTGATGTTAAACTTCACCTCAGCTCGCACCATAGGCAGGGTGAGTTGTTCATGTCGGTGGACCCCCTGTCGCCCTCTTCCTATGCGCCCTGCAGCCTGGCTATGGCCGCGAGCGCCCTGCTGCCCTGCAGCGCCCCTCACCTCTCAGCGCCCGCGCGTGCCCCAGCCCGCAGACGACACTTGCATGCGAGCGCAGCAGCGTGTCCGCATTGCCTGCCTAGGCCAGCATGCTCTCGCTGGCTGGGTTGCTGCCTATATGGAAGTGGCAGCCACTACTGGACTCCCTGGGCCTGGCCGTGGAAGTTTCCAGTAGCTTCTGGTCGGGCCCCAGTGTCTGGGCCCAGGCCCATCTCGACAGTTGAGGGCCTGGGCCCAGGCCCATCTCGACAGTTGAGGGCCTGGGCCCTTTTCCGTTGGGCGCACCCAAAATTTCCCAGGCTCCCAATGTTTGCTGCATTTGCACTGGCCCGTGGGGTAGATACGTCAACAATGCTGGTTTCTGGTTGGCCCGTGGCCACATTGTGATGCGTTGTCCTCACAAGGCATGTGCCCAGGGCACAACCAGCCGGGCCCTGGGCTCAACTGCCTGGGGCGGTTACTTCTTCTGGAAGAGCTCAGGGTAGGGCTCAGGTTGTACTTCAACCAACTGTCGTGCAGCAACCGTCTGAGACGTGCATTGGAAAATGATGAGATAAGGGCCTCTCATGAATATTCCGGCCTGCCTTCACTTAGGGCGGGCATGAGGCTTGCTGGGGGCCACAGTAATAACATATGCATGTTGTCTAGGGGCCCCTGAGGACACATTCCTCTCATTCCATCCCCCTTAGCTTCACAAGTCCGCTGAGATGCTTCTATGCAGGTGCCTTCCCCTTCAACCGTCTCTCATAGTCTGCCACAATCTGAGGTGCACCCGATATGGATGGGGCCCTGGCCTCGAACAAGACCTCTCTCACAAGCTCCTCCCGATATGGAGGGGGGGGTGTTACATGCTGCGCCTGCACACACGCCCCATTTGAGGGGCTCGGCGGTTGCTGAGGGGCTCCCAGCCCGCGTGCATTTTGACACGCGCCCTAGAGGCCCACGGCGGCCTCTTAGGCTGCAGACACAATTTGAGGCAGCACTTATTA